AAAATTCGTGTGCTAACATAGAACACTATTCGTACCAACGGATTATACCAAGTTGCCAGATATGTTAAATTCTAAAACTTTTTTTTATCGTGAAGACATTGGTGTATTATGTTTCATGGTGTGTATATCCTGATGTCATTATTAAAACTGAAAAATATATCCGTTTAACAATTGAAAAATATTCTGTACTGTCATTTAGGGAATAAACATGTGTTGTCAGATTTGCTAGTGTCACTGAATATTCGATATACAATGACATACACGTTCTCTACTGAGGTTCTCGGTCTGACATGATTTGTTGACTTTCGTTCTTTCTGTTCTCTTCTGATCGTGATTTCGTGCAGTCCTCTCGGTCCGACCCGCACAGAGCTTTTGAAAATATATAACGTCAAAGCCAGAGAACAAACAGTTTCGATTATCAGACGAAACGGATTCCTCTGCACGTAAAAGGTCAAATAGCTGTTAAATTAAATGAATGAATCACTATGCATAGACTCGTTAGTCCAGCCAAAATGTAACTCCAGAATTCCAGCCCAGTTCGGCAAGGGTGGAAACTGAACTTTTATTCTCCCTTGCCTCGGGAAGATGATGATGTATATTTCTAGTTACAACTGTGCTCATACATAATGAGTACAAGTACTTGCATGTCATGTCCTATATCATGCATTTCAATGTGACTTACTAACATAGTAAAATAATCTTTCCCAATACTACTCAACTAAAACATAAATCCAACTGAAGCCTAGAATAAAGTGAGGCTAAAACTAAACGAAACATTGGATTTTATCTTGTATTTTGTAGATCCTGTAAATATTTGTAAATAAGAAAACTTTATTTCCGACTGAGGATAGGCAGTCAGGTAACCGCTCGGGGCTATATTAAGCAGCGTGCGTACACTACCAGCACCAAAGGAAAGAAAATTATGATGCACCATCTGTCCAAGGGCGTAAGTTTCGGCCCTCGGATGGTAGCTCAGGGTGATGACGGAAGACAAAACTCAGGGGTGAAGTTTAAGACGACAGCAGCCATCTTTATTGTTGATAGTTTGGAATAAGTCGAAAAGGTACATGTTGATAATAACGTGACAGAACGCACACCGGGAACTAGTGGCCAGTTTTCCCGGGTGGAGACTCGCTCTGTCAAGTTCAAGTTCTTTATTAACTCAAACCGCCGACCGGTGGTATATGAGCAACATAATAGCGTACATATATACAAAAATACAATGTGATCAAGTGGCAACAGTGCTTTACTTTAGTGCAGAAAGTAATATTTTTACAAATTTAGACAGTTTTTTAAGATTGTCAGTTCTCATATTTGACATCAAATGCTTAAAGGAAATAATGTTTGACCAGTTTAGATATCTATTATCAATTAATGTTTTTCTTTGCTGGTCAAAATATTCACATCTGAAGAGGTAGTGGAACTCGTCGGCTATGGCTTACATGTGCGATATTCGCGTGCCCTCCCAGCGGCCAGTCTCAATCGGTAAATTATTATTTAGGGTTCTTAATTTTAAAATTGGAGTAAAGATTTCTGGTGATAAGAGAAGATATTGTTCAAGTTTGAAATTTGTTTTGTAAATTCTATAGCTGCAATAAATTGATCTTTTAAAATGATTTCAATTTTTGAGACTAACCAGCCGTGACTTACAGAATCCGGTTGATTAAAAACTACAGAAAGACCACACCTGTTTAATAAGCTCTTAATGGACTCCACGCAGTTGCTTCTATTGTTATTAATATTATATATATAATTTATGTATTTCAATATTAGGGTTGAACATTTTATAACAGGTCGATTATTACTTATATGGTTGTGCCAAAACGAGATCATTCTCTTATATATGAGTATACTTATTGGAAATCTCCCAAATTCACCATACAACATATAATCTGGTGTTGAGTTTCTAAGATTGAAGGCAAGTTTAATGAATTTCAAATGTACTCTTTCCAATACTGAATGGTTTTCGTATCCCCAAGTTTCACAACCATAGGTTAGAATAGGCAAGATAAGAACATCAAAGGCTTTGAGAAGGCAATCAACAGGTAGATTTAAATTCTGTGCTCTTTTTAATAAGCAGAAAATGGCTTTTGTAGCTCTGTCAGCGAGGTTTTTAATTGCACGTACAAAACGACGGTTTCGATGGAATAAAATACGAAGATGGACATAACTATTTACAATTTCTAAATCAACGGAGTTAAAATGAAACTTCAAATTCTGGGGTAGTTTGGTGCCTGATCCAAATATTAATATTTTAGTTTTGCAGGTGTTTAACTCTAATTTCCATTTTTTGCAATATTTGTGAAATGAACCAAGGGACTTTTGAAGTTCAGGTGCGTTGTCGGCGAATAAGACTGTGTCGTCGGCGTACAGGATAATAAGGAATTGTAAAATTATATCGAAATGTTCTTCTGGTATGTCAAGCTTTACACCGTTACAATTATCCGCGGATAGGTAATTTTCCAAGTCGTTCAGGTAAAGCTAGAATAGAAGTGGTGATAAGTTGTCGCACGCCGGAAGCGGTTACAAAATAGTCTGACAAGTTGTTTTTTGAGCAAACGCATGATTTAATATTTCGGTACATATTTTTGATAACATTCAAACATTTTCCACTAACACCTTGTTTTTGTAATTTATCCCATTGGCCGACTCTCCAGACTTTGTCAAACGCTTTTGAGAAGTCGATAAATGCGCAGAATAGCTTTTTTTTGATTGTTTAAGTGTATTTATCAGCATGTGTAAAAAGAATATATCACTTGCCGCCTGGCTGTCTCCCCGACTGACCATGTCAGTCGGGTTTTTGTAGAGCGAGGTATTACGTAACGTGTGGCAAGGTCATTGATCCACGTGTATGTATGGTACCGTATGTATATAAGTAAGATCCGGCGACGTAAGGAGGTGTTAATTGAAAATTTATAGATCGCGATAGAGATTAAGGGTCCTGCCCGGAGGGGCTTATGACAAGAGGGGATACGCCGAACGTTTGCTGAATATATTAAACAGACAAAGGGCATAGAATTTCGGTGCGCTTGGAAAAAATATTGAACCAGTTAGGTATTTAGATAAATGAAATGTTAAATAAATATTGAAATGGTTTGCACTATTTTAAATAAAAGTATTGAAATGGTTTGCACTATAACACATTTAAAGCGCTACTGAACAGGTCACTGATAAATATAACCGCTCGCAGTCACCTGACTGTCAATTATAACCCCGTTTGTAACAACGAGATGAAAACTCAATAATGATGTTTACAGCTGAGAAAATGGACACACATTATATATATTGTTGGCGATCCCTACCAGTCAGACAACGTGATCTGATATTCTACATGGTATATGAACAACTGATTTCTTATTACTTCATCACAATTCTTGAGTGGGTGAGTGAGTGAGTTTTGTTTTACGCCGCTTTTAGCAATATTCCAGCATATCACGGCGAAGGAAACCAGAAATGGGCTCCACACATTGTACCAATGTCGGGATTCGAACCCGGGTCTTCGGCGTGACGAGCGAACGCTTTAACCACTAGGCTACCCGACCACCCCTCACAATTCTTGAAACAGTCCCTTACATATATTAGATCCAAGCTTCACTCCTCTCTGTCTTGCCTCAAATCCCGGACAGCCACCGAAAACTACCCCCTTTAAACCTAAACTAACAAGCAAAGCATAATACCAACATATAAAATGTCAAAATGTATATAAAACGGTGTATAATATGAAACTATAGTTTCATATAACATTTTAGTTTCAAGAAAACGCTGCCAAAATTGTTAATTTGATCAGAGACCACAAAACAAAATTATTTTATGGTCTCTGATTTGATCGCTCAAATACATAATAAATCAAAAGTGCAAAACGATCTCCAATCGGTATAATTTGAAATGGGGGTACAACATCACAATAATCAAACTGAGATTATCACCAACACGTTTTTGAGTTATTGTGATTTCATCTCTTCGCTATGTAAGTGCAATAATCTTGGACGCGACGTTAAACCCCATTTCACCTCACCTCACCTCATCTCTTCAATGATATTGTGTATGAAGACACTTACTATTTGCTCGAATGCTGCACACTTGACCTCACCTTCATAAGTGTGCCCGTTATTATCGGTGACATTTTTTTTATATGCTTTTACACAAAACATATGATGAGTTACCTTCCAAATGAAATGATCATTTGGTTTTGAATATCTTTATTGTCTTTCCAGAAAATGTATTTTTTGTGTTTGGTAAGATTTCTTTGTCACATCAGTATATATGCAGAATTCACATTGAACCACATGGTCACTTTGTCAAGTGGAAGTGCACGATGCTTGCTGTATTCTAAATATCTCAGTCGGTCGGGTAGCCTAGTGGTTAAAGCGTTCACTCGTAACGCCCAAGACGCGGGTTCCATCCCGACATGGGTACAATGTGTGAAGTCCATTTCTGGTGTCCCCCGCCGTGATTTTGCTGGAATATTGTTAAAAGCGGCATAAAACCATACTCACTCACTCTTTACGAAAAATTATTGTCCTTCCTTGTAGCATCATTTCACACTTTGAAGAAACATTTTCTCATTCTCACCATGTACACACCTGAATACATGCAAACCGTCAAAAAACTGAAGGTTCTTTTAAATTAATTTGCATAGACAATGTCTACCAGCGACGCATTCCTTGTGAACATGCTCAGCTGAGAGATTTTATAAACCCGCAAAACTGTCACTGCCATTGTTGTGACTGTCGTGTGACTTTATGAGATTCTACCTCCAAAAATGAGTGAAAACGTGTTATTTATTGTCACAATCAGCAATACCACAGCTGTATTATGATGGTCATACTGGTATCAACAGCATGAGCAATGATCTACACCAATGAGTGTACTGAACCATAATCCTCAAAGTCCTAATTTGATACTGAAGTGGGGATTTTTTCAATCCAGAAATCCAGTGCCAATGCTAACTACAAGAGAACAACCCACAATCCACCCCACCCCACCCCACCCAACCCCACCCAACCAGTCACTGAATCCCATGGATACTCATTGGTCAAATGAACGAAGCCAAAGTCTTGTGTCCGGTCATGCTCACTCACTAAACATGATTTCATAATATTGCAGAAGCTGAATTTACTTGGGCATGGAAACACAATGGTATATTTGTTCAGTTCTTACCATTGTGATTTTACACTTCAAAAGTCACGGTCTGTCTATCAAAGTTTAACTGGGTTATTCTCTCGATCACACGTTTAACAATTTTATCAGAATACTTCAGCAACGTGGCGTCTGTTGCTCGGAAGGAGCCCCACTCCTTTGGTGGTACAATACGGTAGTGGTGCAGAAGGCACCGAGAATACTGACATATGCAACCATCGTGTCCTTTCCGAAATCGTTCAACTTTATGTATACCAGCGATTTCAACACCTGTTGGCCTGATGATCAGTTTTGATCTATCCTGAGGTAAGTCGATTATTAAATGACTTGTGTACAACAGGTGCGTGAGATTGAGTCTTCTTGCTTCTTGCTTCAGAGTGAAATTCCCCATATGAGGTTGAAGGTTCAAAGGGAAAAAGGTATTTCGGACAAGCAGACAAGAACACGATGGTCGACCTTTCAAGTTGTCAACGATCATGTCTGAAGTATTGGCATACACCTTTGGTATGTAGACTTCATCCGTGTCTCCAGTCAGTATAAAATCGGAGACGTGCAAGTTTCTGTACATACACTCTTGAATGACAGCAAGTTGTGCAAAGTAATGAATCTCAGATCGGTTTACAGGTACATCCCATGGCAAGATTTCTAAAACTCCCAAATTACGATAATGTTTTAAAACATTCATAGCAGATTCGTGTATACTGTAATTGTAAACAATGAAATGTCCAACACCGAACATGAGGCTGATTTCAAGTGTCTGTATAAGCTGTAATGTGTCGCTGAAATTTGAATGAAGTGCTGAGAAACATCTTGTAAGCTGTCTTTTTTTCTTCAAAGGATAGATAACTCTCAGCATGTTACCAGCCTCTGCGGATTTATTTCCACTGATCCTTACTGCTGCTGGCCATCCGTCTTTGGGAAACCCACACTTAATAAATCCGGAATGGTATCTGAAAAAAGAACATTGATAATAATATATTTACAAAAGCGCAAGGAATATTCAAAGGATAAATGTAAAATTTGTTTTGGAAGATACTGAGTGTCTGAGAGTTGTTAGTGGTATCCCACTGAAGTTGTCAGTATAAATGAGGTTTTATAAAGTCTTGCCGTACTGCACCACTCACGTACAATAGGTGGAATCCAGGCCATATCACCTTTTACAGCAGGGTTTGAATCATATTTCCTCAGACTTACATAAAACCACAAAGCTCTATTGCGTCCTGCGTTGATACATGACATGTTGTATGTACCCCATATACATGCACCGTATTCTATAGTTGACCGCACAATTTTGTCGAAGAGGGTTGTAAATGTGCGAAAAGCCATCCCGACCAGCATCTTGTACTGTCAGATGAGTAGACCCAGTGCTCTGCTACCAGGGCTGGCGGCTGCTCTCGCCATACGCTTATAGTCCAGGTGTTCCGTCAGTAGAATCCCCAAGTAACAATATGAGTAACCCTAACCCTAACCCTAATATGAATAACAGTTTGTAAAGTCTCTTCACCATTCTTAAACGCAACGTGGATGGAGGTCTGAAGTGGATTATCTTCGATTTGTCCTTGATAACGGTCGTCTTGTTGGTATGCCACCAGGTATTTAGACGGTCTTGTGACATGTTTAGGTCGTTTTCATTTTCAGCGAGTAGCACTAGGTCGTCAGCGTACGCCAGAACATTAATAACAGTATCTTCAACACACACAAACACACCTTAAATTAATGCTTCTAAAATACATAGCAAATCATTAACTTACATATTAAAAAGCATCTGAGATGACATACAACCTTGTTTCAGACCACATTTTACATCAAACCAGGAGGGACACAACCCATTCACATGCACACAGCACTGAACATTTTTGGAAATGGATAAAAGTGCATTAATCATAAAACCATTGACATCAAAAGATGACAACAACTTATCCCATAAAATGCTTCTATCTATATAATCGTAGGCATTTCCGTTGGTTTTCTTTGACTTTTCCTTGTTTCGACTATAGAGGTGAGGATATATGTGTGTTCTGTAGTTGATCGACCCCGTCTAAAACCGTTCTGGCTGTCGTGCAGGAGATCATTCGTTTCCACATATGATGTCAGTCTATTGTTCAATACTCCACAGTATATCTTATAGCAGTATATCTTATAGCTGGCTTGGGTGATGCCGCGGTATGCCAAGGGGTCACGTGGGACTCTTCGGGACAGGTGAGATGATGCCTTTACACCATACTAAAGAGACTATGTCCTTACTAACATGCGTTAAATAATGGAGAAAACGTCAACAGTTTTTATTTCTAGGAACTTCAGATGGAATGTCGTCTATTCCAGGTGATTAACCACGTTTCGCACTTGATATCACGCGCTGCACTTCATCTACAGTTATGGGTATATTTAGAAGACTATCACTGCTTTTGCTCGCATCCACGGGTGGAGTTTCGTCTTCACCAGCGTTACAGTTTAACAAGTCTGAATACATATCTCGCTTAACATTCTTTCAGGATCCGCACACACACTTCCCTCAACCAATTTGTCCTCCATGGGAATTGTCCGATTCCTATCGTACCCCACTCCAACTTTACCGATCTTCCTCCAGAATTCTGTCTGATTGCTCTCACACATGTCTTCGAGTTCCTGTAGAGTGGTTCGTTGGTACTGGCGTTTCGCTCGCTGCACCTTCTCATCGACATGGTTTCTAGCATGGATGCATCCGAGGGAGAGGGTTCTACTAATTGCAGTACCGCAGGAAGAGACCTGTAGACGTGAGCTCGAGGTTGTGTTGAAGATGGTCGTTGCATAATGGCCGCTAGGAGAGACAAAACTTGAGCTTTGACTGTGTCAGTTAAAAGGGCTGAAGTAGTGATGTTTCACAGGTCTGTTGAATAAACTCCAAGCGCTTCTGTCAATATTTCTTCTACTCGATCCTTGATACATCACTGTGGCGTTTACAATATATATTCTTTTCAACGTACATTAATGGTGTGTTTTTGAGTATTTGTCAATTGCGTTGGACTCATAAGCAATAATTGTAATTTGTGGTGACATGTAAACATAAAACGCCTCATGTAAAGCATGTTGTAAATAAGATGGTAAATGATAATATTCAATTCGAGTTATGGGGGGCACGGGTGGCCCAGTCGTCTAAGGCGCCGCGATATAACTGGAATACTGTTAAAAGCGGCGTTAAACTCAACTCACTCACTCACTCAATTCGAGTTACAATACAACTATACATCTGTAATCCTAAACATTATGTTCCTAGAATAGCCAGGAGGAAAACTGATTAAATAAGAGAAGACGTTTGCCATTACATACATGCACTGACAACATTTGAGCATATCTATATATGTAAATGTTACGATGCTCTACCTATCTACACGAACTATTAAAAAAATGGGCCTAAGGTAATGGAGACAGAGGCTGAAGATATAATACCATCATAAACAATTCATGTAGTCATTTTGCTTCATTTTAGCGGGAAAGAAACCCTGCAAACACCAAACGTTAAGTTACAAACATTCACTCAGTAGAGTAGGAGGTATGCAAATAAATATATATCTACTGATATTATAAAACACTCTAGCGAATGTAATTTTCACAATTTGTAATATCAAAAACTACATTTGATCCATTGTTTTTAAGCTAAAATACATTATTTGATATAATAAATTATTTTACTGAAAATCGGTTATGCAATATCAAAAAATATAACATATCATAAATCAAATTAACGAGTGTCAGATTAACGAGACTTGACTGTATATTCATTCTTTGGAATCAATAAATATTTAACTGATATCATTAAATAAGAAATAAATAGTTAAAAATGTGCCTTATATAGTGTTACTTTTGGTCGTATTGAGTAACGCGATTGCATCACGGTTATAGTGTTAATTGCTACTCTGTTCCTGCACCAATATTTATTTCATCTTATGAAAAACTGTTTAAAAATATCAACTTAAAGTTAACTATTATCTGTAACCAACTGAAGGAAATAATACCAACCCGACCTGCATTTATTTATCCCTGGATCGTTATCATAGTTAAGATATGTCAAAGTGCTCATACTAGAACATCGTACTGATTACGGAATGCCACATCATCTTAACGCATTTACAAGTTAATCGTTTGAAAATCAGGAACTTTAGCTGTCTGTGAGCGTGGCTTAGTTAGGTTACATGTAAAAGAGGAATCGTCAAACGAAATAGGATTTTTAACGTATCCAATACTTTCAACTATCGTGATACAAATTTCCATCTGTCCGGCATAGCACTTACATCTATAGCATGGTTCTATATCTTAGTAAATACCACTTTAAAATGTCACTTAGACTAGCATTAAGTCTCTGAAATCTTATATTACACAATATCGTTCTTGATTCCCTATGCTGATTAGAGCTAGCTAGAGCTGGCTAGACTTGCTTTTGTATGCGTTTCTAGATACAGTGAACTACGGTTATAACGAACTCAAAGAGACAAACTAATTTTAGTTCGTTAAAACCGTAGTTCGTTATAAGCATATATAGAGCATAACGACAGCATATAGTCGGGACCAAAAAGTGGGTTCGATATATCCGTCAGTTCGTTATAAGCGTTTTCGTTATAAACGTAGTTTACTGTATATTTTGTTCATAAAATAACTATATTCCACAGTCATGGCGCAGGACTAAATGTCACTGTTCGTCGTATTTAAAGCAGACACCTTGGTTAAAGTGAATCTCATTTCCCCATACCCTAAACATAGTCTCATAGTGTTCGGTCCGACTTGGCCCGGGCATTGAAAATCAACTTTAACCTCACATGTGTATCATCAAATGTGTTTACATCTATAGGGTGGTATTATATCTACCTAAATACCACTTTTTAGTGGCACAGTACATCGCATTTAAAGAAAACTGGTCCGTTTAAGTCAAACACTTTTACTTCATTTTCTTAAGAAAATCTCTCACATGTGTTTGCTCCGACTTGGCCCGGGCCGTCAAAAACATCTAAAACCTCACAGATATATCATGAAATGTGTTTATATGTATAGACTAGTACTATATCTACCTACATACCACTGTATAATGTCACAGATCCTGTTTTTTAAAGCAAGCACGTTGTTCAAAGTGAAGCCTTTTTCCCTCAACATTCTCAACATAGTCTCTATCAGATGTGTTTGGTGTGTGTTCAGTCCGACGTTTAATAGGTCACACTGTTGAAAAAAACGTTTTTATTCCTTATCCTACAATTAAAGCGTGTTGTGATCACTAAATATTTCTGTATCCTAAACATGTTTGGAATTGTTAAAAAACAAAACATGTTCATAATCTAAACGTGATTACAGCCAAACTGTGTTACGAATATTAATATTCATGATTTAAATGTTTGTCAGTTTTACTGAGACATTTGCCTGTAATATTGTGCTTTGCGATGGTTACAGCATCAATACCAAGGGCTCACAAGTTTAAACTTGACAGATCAAATAAGTACCACTCTACAATCCACGCACGACTCATGGATGCTGGTGTATTTATCAAAGCAAAATGTGAATCAGAGAATCCAGTATTTAATATATTAATATGTTTAGATTTGAAGATATTAGCAATAAAAGGTTGTGTGACTGATCATTTCAGACTTATTATTGATTTCATTGCCCTAAGAAATGCCCCCAAAAACCTTTGTAAATTTGATATACCAATTGTTACGACAGTTGACTGTTGCTGTTGAGTCGCGAAAGAGTCGGGTATGAAACTACCACTATTCAGTAAATACCCAATCTCATTAAAATCCGATCTTAGTACCTGCTGCTGCTGCTGCTACACAAAACTCTGAGATCATCCCATTACAGGTTACGTCATTGAATAAATGTAATAACCATAAGAAGATCCAGTTTTGTTAGTTGCATCACTATTTGCACTCAACATCGTTTTCCTAAATGATGGTGCAAAACTGCTTTTTTTTTCTTTTTTACATAATCA